GTTGGTGTTTGTGTGGTTGTTGTTGTTTTTTTGAGGTTTTTGATGACTGCTTCTATTTCATTAGGGGTTATAGGTTGATTTAAACTGCTTATCTGTTCTAGGTTTAATTTTGGTAAATGATATCTATCCTGAAAATTGTCCATTTCCTTTAGACTTTCCAATTTTGTGCAGTACAGGTTTTCTAAGTATTACCTGAGGATTCTCTGGATTTCCTCAGTTTTGTTATATTCCCCCTTTTTGTTTCTGATTTTGTCAATTAGCATGTTCTCTCTCTGCCCTTTGGTTAGTTTTGATAGAGGTTTGTCTATCTTGTTGATCTTCTCAAAGAACCACCTCTTTGTTTCATTGAATCTTTGTAATGATTTCCTAGTTTCTACTTTATTGATTTCAGCCCCCAGTTTGATTATTTCCTGGCATCTACTCCTCCATTGTGAGATTGTTTCTTTGTGCTCTAAAGCTTTCATTTGTTCTGTTAATTCTCTTGTGTGACTTTTCTTCAGTTTCTTCATGTGGGCACTTAGTCCTATGAACTTTCCTCTTAGCACAGAGTAAATGTCCCATAAGTTTGGGTATATTGTGTCTGCATTCTCATTAAATTCTAGGAAGTCTTTAATTTCTTATTTATATTTCTTCCTCAATCTGGGAATGGTGCACTTGGGTGTTATTCAGAATATTTCCACGAGTTTGTAGGTTTTCTGCAATTTGTATTGCTGTTGAATTCTAACTTTAAAGCATGGTGATCTGATAAGATACATGGGGTCATTTCAATTCTTTTATATCTGTGGAGGTTTGCTTTGTTGCCAACTGTGTGGTCAATTTTAGAGAAGGTTCCATGTTGCGCTGAGAAGAAGGTATGGATGTTTGGATGGAATGTTCTATAGATATCTGTTAAACTCAGTTGGGACATAACTTCTGTTAGATCCTTTGTTTCTTTGTTAAGTTTCTTTCTCATGGTCCTGTCTAGTGGTGAAATCGGGGAGTGGAAATCTCCTACTATAAGTGTGAGAGTTTTTATGTGTGGTTTGAGCTTTAGTAATGTTTCTTTTACAAATGTGGGTGCCTTCCTATTTGGGGCATAGATGTGCAGGAGTGAGACTTCATCTTGATGGACTTTTCCTGTGATGAGTATGAAATGCCCTTCTTCATCTCTTTTGATTGATTTTAGTTTGAAGTCTAATTTGTTAGATACTAGGATTGCTACACCAGCGTGTTTCTTGGGCTTATTTGATTGGAAAATAATTTCCCAAACCTTGACTCTGAGGTTACGGCTGTCTTTGAAGTTGAGGTATGTTTCTTTTATACAGCAGAAGGATGGATTCTGTCTTCATATCCATTCTGTTAGCCTGTATCTTTGTATGGGCAGGTTAAGACCAGTGACATTGAGGGATATTAATGTCCATTGATTGTTGGTTCTTGTTTGTTTTTGATTTATTGTTCGTGGTGTCATTGTGTGTGTATTTCGCCCTCCTGTTTCTTTTTGTGTTTGGTAAAATTGGATTATCTATTTGCCTATGTTTTTGTGAGTGTAGTTATCTTCGTTGGGTTGGAGTTTTCCTTCCAGACCTTTCTGTAGTGCTGGATTTGTGGATATGTATTGTTTAAGTCTGGCTTTGTCATGGATATCTTGTTTTCTCCATCTATAGTTATTGAAACTTTTGCTGGGTACAATAGTCTGGGTTGGCATCCATACTCCTTTAGTGTTTGTAAGATATGTATCCAGGACCTTCTGGCTTTCAAAGTTTCCATTGAAAAGTCGGTTGTGATTCTGATAGGTCTTCCTTTATATGTTACTTGGCCTTTTATCTTTGCTGCTCTTAATATTTTCTCTTTATTCTGTAGGTTTATTCTGTGTTTTGATTATTTTGTGTCGGAGGGGGGGGAGTTCTTTTTGTGGTCAAGTCTGTTTGGTGTTCTGTAAGCTTCTTGTACTTTCATAGGCATATCCTTCTGTAGGTTGGGGAAGTTTTCTTCTATGATTTTGTTGAATTTGTTTCCTGTACCTTTGAGCTGTATTTCTACACCTTCTTCTATACCTATTATTCTTTGGTTCAGCCTTTTCACAGTGTCCCATATTTCCTGGATATTTCGTGTTAGGGATTTGTTGGAGGTGAGATTTTCTTTGGTCGATGTCTCTATATCTTCTAGGGAGTCTTCAACAACTGAGATCCTCTCTTCCATCTCTTGAATTCTATTGGTTATACTTAAATCTTTAGTTCCTGATCATTTATCCAGCCTTTCTCTTTCCAGCATCGCCTCTTCTGTGTTTTCTTTATTGTGTCTAATTCAGCTTTCATGCCTTGAACTGTTTCGAGAGCTTCCTTCACTTGTTTGGTTGGTTGTTGTTTCTTGGCTGTCTTTAGATTCTTTAAGAGATTTGTTTACTTCTTGAATTTTTTGATTTGTCCTTTCCTCCATTTCATGTAATTTTTTTGCTTGTTTTTTTCTTCTATTTCTTTAAGGGATTTTCTTGTTTCCTCTTTAAAGGTCTCTGTCATCTTCCTAAGATAATTTTTGAGGTCCATCTCTTCTTCATCCTCTGTGTTGCGCTTTTCAGTTCTTGCTGTTGTGGAGTCCCTATTTTCTGGTGGTGTCTTATTGGTCTTTCTGTTGTTGAGTTTATTCTTACTCTGTCTTCTTCCCATCCCTTCTTCCAGTGAGTACAGGTGGGGTCTCTCCCTCTCTCTGGTGGCAGGCAGAGGGCTCAGCCTCTGGAGGTAGCTAGATGGTAGAGGCCCATGAGTGGACAAGGGTGAGATGTGTCTGGACTCCGGGTGGCCCTTCCCAGTCTGGGCATGTCCACTCTTGTCAGGGGTTGGGGGGTGTTCAGGCAGAAGAGAGCAGAGGTTGATGGGGGGGGTTAGAGTTGCAGAGCATCTCCCAGACTCACCTGAACCTCAGGCCCCCTCAGTAGGACAGAGGGCAGAGTGTGTCTGTCTGGTAGACAGACAGCCGGATGGTAGAGGGCCATGAGTGGACAGGGGTGAGGTGTGTCCAGACTCAGGTTGGGCCTTCCGGTCTGGGCAGATCCACTCTTGTCAGGGTGGGTCAGGCAGAATGGAGCAGCAGGACAGAGGGCAGAGTGTAGACAGGGGTGAGGTGTGTCCAGACTCCCAGTTTGTGTTTTCTTTATTGTCTCTATTTCAGATTTCAGGTCTTGAACTGTCTGAATTGTTTCCTTCAGCTATTTGATTGTGTTTTCTTGGTTTTCCTTAAGAGATTTGTTGATTTCTAGTATTTTTTGTTTGGGTTTTTTTTTCCATTTCATTAAGGGATTTTCTCATATCATCTTTGAGGCCCTGTAACATTTTCATGAAGATGTTTTTAAGGTCATTATCTTCTGTTTCATCTGCATTGTGGTGTTCAGGTTGTGCTGGTGTAGATTCCCTAGACTCTGATGGTGTAGTGTTAGTTTTTCTGTTGTTAAATGTGTGTTTTTGTTTGTTTGTTTGTTTGTTTTTCGAGACAGGGTTTCTCTGTTGAGCTTTGGAGCCTATCCTGGTACTCACTCTGGATACTAGGCTGGCCTTGAACTCACAGAGACCTGCCTGCCTCTGCCTCCCTAGTGCTGGGATTAAAGGCGTGTGCCACCAAGGCCTGGCGTTAAATGTGTTTTTATATTGTCTTCTTCCCATTCCTTCTTCCGTTGATCAAGGATCCCTTCTGGTGGGTGCAAACAGGTCCAATACTCTGATATCTCCTCTTCCCCTGGATGGAGTCAGGACTGCTACTGGGGACTAGATACTTTGGTGTGCTGGATCCAGCCGGGATGGGATTCACTCCGTGAGCAGTCCCCAGGCCTCAGGTGTCTCCCAACAGGGCAGAGGAAGGCTCAGGAAGAAAGATTTTAAATTGAGTATGGTCATTAAAATAAGATAAACATTTGAATATGTTTATCAGATAGACATTCTTGGGGAAAGTTTCCTTTAAATATAGTTGGCAAGAATTTGAAGCCTTGGTATTTCTTTTTGTCATAATTAATAGGTGGTTAGCCCACATGTAGAAACTTACCTAGAAAATAATTCTTTTTTAATTTCTGTGCCATGTCCAGTGGGCCTGCATTGATGACTTTGATGAGTTTTCTTTTATTAGCTTTATTTGTCTTGCCAGTTTGAATCTCCATTTATAGTCTGTGATTTAGCATTTTTAAACATCTTTATTCTTGTTGACCTAAACAATTTATCTGACAATTCATTTGCTTCCAGTGAGTGTTGAAAACATGTAGAGACATATTAAATTGCCGTTTACTATCTGGAGAGCATTGAGGGCAATTTTCTTGCAATGCTAGAAATAGGTCAAGCAAATGTCATTAGTGCCCATCTTTGGGAATGTGATGACCCTAGGAAATATACAAGGTCCTGAATCTTGACAGTGATTCATGTCAAAACAAACAGAAAACACCAAATATTTCCATCAAAGGTCACTGTATTTGGTAATACTGTAGTCATTTCTGTGAAACACCAGAACAAATTGTATATATCCTCACTTAACATAGAATAATTGTGCAGCTGCTAAAATGCTTTTATCTTGATTCAGATCATCACTTTAGTTTTTTAACGTGCTAACCAGGAAGAATTCATGATAGACAAACAACTCAGAAGAAGCCAAAAATTAAGGTAACAAGATTTGAAAATAGGAGTTGTTAAAATAGTAACCGTCTACCAGTATAATTTTGGAATTTTCAAATAAGCATCTGTCAATGCTGTCTTCATCCTAATATGCATGATGTACTTCTGCCTTTTAGAACCAAAGTCACAGCCACAGCACCTTCACCAAGGACAGCACAGAGTGTCGAATACTGAACAGAATGGGATAAAAGAGAGCAGCAATCAATCAAGACATCTTCCTCGAAATGATACCAGGCAGCCAAGAAATGAGAAACCTCCTCGTTTTCAAAGAGACACCCCCAATTCGAAGTCAGCCTTAGAAAGCAGTGTATTATCAAGAAATAGAGGTTCTGAAAGATCCGGCAGTTCTTTTGGTTCAGAAGGGTGGGCAGAAGAGAAGATCAAGTGTGATAGGCCATATTCTAGATATGATAGAACTAAAGACACTTTATATCCGTTAACTTCTCAGCACAACGATGGCGCTTTTAAAAAAAGAGATAACTCTATGCAAAACAGATCAGGACGAGGTCCAGTGTATGTGGAGCCAAAAGAAAACCCACTTCCTCCAGAGTTCTTAGATTACAGTAATCAAAAGCGTGGGAAAAGAGAAAACCAAACAGGTAATCCTGATCACTTTTATGACAGGAAATCACGGACAATGAATAATGAAACTTTTAGTGGTCTCAAAATTGAAAAACATTTTAGTGTAAATACTGATTACCAGAATCCTGTCCGAAGTAATAGTTTTGTTGGTGTTCCAAATGGAGAGCTGGAAATGCCACTGAAAGGAAGACGCATAGGACCAATTAAGCCAGCAGGCCCTATCCCAGCTGTACCCTATGATGATAAGATATTTTATAATAGTGGGTCCAAAAGAAGATCTGGGCCAATTAAGCCTGAAAAGGTGATAGAATCATCTATTCCTGTGGAGTATGCAAAAATGTGGAAACCGGGAGATGAATGTTTTGCACTTTATTGGGAAGACAACAAGGTATGAATGTTTGAAACACATGGCTACATACTGTGCACTGTTCTGGTGGTACTCTGTAGAAAGCATCTGTGTGTTCTAGTCTGTAGCCATACCTGTTTGGGGCCCTTAAGGAGGTTTATAGATGTATAATTCAAAAATAGTTAACATTTTTTTGTGAATGCTTAGAATTTGCTTTAGCTTATATATGAGAATCTTATTTTAAAAAAGACTAAACTTAGTTCAGCTGTATTTCACTTATCATTTTCTAAATTATAGATGCTTATTTTCTTGTAAATTTTACTGATTCCCAAGGGGGGAAATCATTTCAGTGGTACAAACTTTTGTGAATTTTTACTTAAAGAGTATATGTATACTCGGCTTATAAAAAAGAGAAAAGCATATAAGCTAGTTTCTGACCTCGTCATAAATTAATAGTTATTAGTTGGCTACAAGGGAAAGAAAGAAGTGGAGGGAGGAGAAGACAGGCAAAAAGGCGAAAGAAGTAGAGTGCTAAGAGTCTGGTGAGAGCTGGGAGAGCAGCTGAGCACAGAGCGTGAGGAGAACCCAGAATGTTATTTGTTGTTTCGTGTTATTAGTTCACTGATAATTTTGTTCACTGTTTTGATTATATTTGCCAGCTTTCCCAACTCCTTTCCTCCTTCCCTACCCACCCAACTTTGTGTCCTGTTTTTAAATTTTATAATGTAAAATTTTCTTATACCCATCAAGTTCTATTTGTGCTACCCATATCGCTTTAGATGTGGGTTTTTGACTAGTACAGTCAACTTACCAGGGGTACAATTTTAGCGAAAATGTATGAGCTGCCAGCAATTCCTCGGCCCGGGGTTCACTCAACTCTTTTCCATTCAGTGACATAGTCTGACTGCAGTTTGTACAGGTCTTGTGCATGCTGTCTCAGCCACTGTGAGTTCATATGTGAAGCTTCCCTGCTATGTCCAGAAAACATTTTTACCTTGTAATCATCCACTGCCTCTGGCACTAACACTGTTTCTGTCCCCTCTCCCACCATGGTCCTTGAGCCACGTGGGATGGGGGTATGATGTAGATGCCTCATTTAGGACTAAATATTCTGCAATCTCTTGCTCTCTGCCCCTTGGCCAGTTGTGGGTCTCGTTGTAAATCACGGCCTACTGCAAATAGAAGCTTTTGTGATGTTAGTAGATAGATGGGTATAACAGTTTGTCAGGAGAGGGTTAGCTAACAATAGTAGATTCTTCCATAGGGACTAAGAGCTCTCCAGCCACAGGTTCTTGGTCCTGATAATGGTACTAGGTACGGGTTGCAACTTAAGAAGTGTGCCTTAAATCCAATTAGAAAGTGTTGGTTTTATGCTCATTCTGTTCATTCAGTCTTGAACCATTGGGCATGTCTTGCCAAAGCAGTCATTATTACTGTTGGCAGGATTCATACCTGGATAAGACTGACACTTACTTTTCTCCTGTAGTATTGTGCATAGTACCTTTCAGAACTACAAAAGCTAGCCCGTAGGAGTGAAGCTTTCAGGTTAGTACTAGCTTGACATCTCTATGTATTGTGACTGAAGTATCTACTGTCTTCAGCAGTAGGGTCTAATCATCAGTTCTGGAGGGTAATCATTGGCATTGGCAATAACCTATAGGAACTCACTGGTTAATAACTCAAAAGAGGTAACCCAGTCTTCGAATAGGGCTTTATACGGGCATCAGCACCCTGTTATAGGCTAATTATTTAAACACATACTCCTTCCCCGTGTGTGTGTGTGTGTGTGTGTGTGTGTGTGTGTGTGTGTTATAAAGCTTCTACAGTATATAGTATTAGGTTTACATATGACTGTTTGAAAAGATTTTTAATATTATTTATCCCTTGTTCCCTCCTCAACCCTGCTTCCCATTCCCACCCAATTTAACCCTTCCTGTTCAGTTATTCTTCTTTTATCTTTCCTTCCAACTTCCTCTCTCCCCTTACTAATTACTAATTTCCTGACCTCTTTGGGCTTTCCAAGTGAAGCATGCATACCTGGTGATTTAAAGCTGATATTCACAAAAGAGAGAACACAAGACAGTTAGTTGTCTTTCTCAATCTGGGTTACCGCCATTTACCTGTGAATTTCATAATGTTGTTTTTCTGGACAGCCGAATAATATTCCATTGTGTAAATATAACACATTTTCATTGTCCATTCATCAGTTGATAGACATCTAGGTTGTTTTCCTCTTGCTGATGGTTGAATAGAGCATCAATGAAAATGGATGAGCAGGAATCACTATAGTAGGGTGGGGTATAAAGTCTTTTTGGTATATTCCCAAAAGTGACGTAGCTGGATCATGCTGAAGGTCTACTGTAGTTGCTTTTTTTTTTTTTTTTTTTTTTTTTTTTTTTTTTTTTTTTAGTACCAGCTACCAATTTCCATAGTGGCTGTACCAGTCTTTTTCTTGGCCAATTTTATTTCATCTTTGAGAACTCCGTTTAGTTCCATGCCCCATTTTAAAATATAATTTTAATTTTTAAAAGACTGTGCCAGTAACTCCAATTTCCTTGCTGGGATTTGGTGTGGTATGAGCTTACACAGGTTTTGTACAAGCTATCACAACTATTATGAGTTCATACACTGCTCTGCTATGTCTAGAAGATAATGTTTTCCTGTAGTCATCCACTGACTTAGGCCTTTTCTACTCCCTGCTACCTGGGAAGCCAGTTGTAGTATTTGAGTTCCCGGTAGAGCTAAGCATTCTGAAGTCTCTTAGTCTCTGAACCATAGCTAGTTGTCACCATCAACTACACCAACTACCAAAAACAGAAGCTTTTCAGATTGATCTATGAGTATAACAATTTAGAAATTGTTTTAATACTGTGTCCATTTAGCAGCACGGTATTGCTTTTGGTAGGCTGGCCATTTTCATAGTATTAATCTTACTAATCCATGAGCATGGGTGCTCTTTGCATCTTCTGGTATCAAATTTGTATTTTCAGTATCTTAGGTTTTCACTGTGTAAATCTTTCATTTTATTGGTTAGATTTATTGCAAGACATTTTATTTGAGAAAATTTTAGTCATTTTATTTTAGGAGTGTGAGTGTTTTGCCTTCATATATATATATGTGGATCATGTGTATGCCTGGGGCCCATGAAAGTCAGAAGAGAGGGGTGATACCCCTGGAACTGGAGTTACAGATGGTTGTGACCATGTTCATGCCTGGTGCCCACTGAAGTCAGAAGAAGGGCTCAGGTCCCCTAAATTGGAGTTACAGATGATTGTGAGCTACTATGAGAGTGCTGGAACCCAAGCCCAAATCTTTACCAAGAGCAACAAGTATTCTTAGTTGCTGAGCCATCTTTCAGGCTCAAGGTACTTTATTTCATATTCTGAGGCCATTGTGAATGGTATTGGTTTCTAGATTTTCTTCTCTTCATCTTTCTTATTTATATATAGGGAAGCTACTGATTTTTGTGTACCTGTTTTATATTCTGCCACTTTGCTGAACATATAGTCAAGTAATGACAGCAACACCCATCAGATAACTCTTGGCAAGTCTAAATCCACCTCCTTCAGGAGCAAGGGTATCTCCTTGGTACTCTTGTCCTCTGCCAACTATGTAAAAGCTTTGGATATGAAAGATCAGCCAGAGATTAATGGAGAAGCAGAGAATAGATTACATGTGTTCTAATAGTTGAAATTGGCAGTCGAGTTCCTTCATCAAGTGTTAAGTATCAAACTAAGCATAGCTCAGTAATTGATAAGCACCAACTTACCAAGGGATGTATAAGTTAGTTCTGGCTATGTGTACTGATATCCAAATGTCTCCCATAATTTGATACACTTTTTAATACAATTTTAATCTTAATTATAATTGTCTATAAAATCAATATACTGGTAGGATCAAATACAATATTTCTTTTCAATGAAACAGTCTAGTTATTTGTCACAACTGGTGATAGCCTATACTTAATAGATCCTTAATCAAAATAAAGACTGTATTAATTAAGAACGTATGAAAAAACCCAATGTACTGAATTCACTTGTTGCCTGTATTGAATATGTTTATAATAATGGCCCAAACTATGTTGATATTTAAAACATTTTGAGTTATTGCAGTACTCTTAGAACAACTAGAGGGTCTTTTAAGGTGACTACTTTGATTTACATTGGCATGTATACTTTTCAGTTAGGATAGTTTGGCATGTATAGTTTTCAGTTAGGATGGGCATCTTTGGATTCTAGGTTATACTTTTAAGTAATAGAAATCAACACTGTTTGCTCTGTGAAGAGATGGAACCAGCCTACTAAAGCCACCTAGCTTAAGAGGCACATTTTAAATATTTTATCAAGAATAGACAACTTCCAGAATTTTTACATAGAAACAAAGAAATTAAAAAAAATAAATGGTCTATAACTACCATTAGGAAACCATGCATTAATTTTATTATAATTGTGTTTTGGAGGTGATCAGCTAGTATATTCTAATATTTGCACAGTTCCACACAATTCCTTGCTTCATTTCTATTAGAAGAAATGAGAATTTGAAGCCATTTTGCATCTCTCTTTACACTATAAAACTAAATTATTGTCTCCCTCTGGACTTGAATATTATGACAGTAACCTCCAGATTGTTTTCCTTGCCAGCAATCTTAGATCTCCCAGTCTTGTCAATGATAATGCCATCACTACGGTGCTCGTCTTAAACCACATGATCGTTCTACTTAAAATCTCTTACCTATACATGAAATACAAACTGTTCGTAGACCCTTCATTATTTAACCTTTTGTACTTATGGATCCTAATTTATTACTTGTTTAGCAGTCACGTCATATCATAATTAGTTTACATCTTCTCTTAGTTGACTATATTCATCTCTATGGCCCCATAACAGTCCCTGGAATATCCTTTTTTTTTTTTTTTTTTTTGGCTAAACATTCTTTATCTTTAATGAATTCCATCCTTACAGGAAGCTCTTCATTAAGTTCTCAGCTTTTTAAAATGGCATATTATTACAACTGTATTTCACTACTTTACATGTTGTAGATTATGTTTTTGTTTTTAACATGGATAACCTTTATTAAGCTGTCAGGTACTGTTATTTTTAAAAGAAATTAAATATATGGCTTTATTTGGTGCTGGATTTCTTAAATAAGGCTTTTTAAAACTCGCCTCTGTGTCAAGGCTGTATTTTGGAAAGTTGAATCTAAAAACCAGACAAATGGAGTATATTACACTCTTTCAGTAACTGTACAGAATCACAAGAGCCAAAGATTAAATTGTAAGTTACAAAAAGGCATTGCCTTACTTGTTTTCTTAGGCTACAGTATGACTGTTGAACTTATTGTGAATTGACATAATTTGAGAAGCTTAAAATTAAAACATGTAGTCAGAGCCAGGCGGTGGTGGCGCACGCCTTTAATCCCAGCACATGGGAGGCAGAGGCAGGCAGATCTCAGTGAGTTTAAGACCAGCCTGGTTTACAAGAGCTAGTTCCAGGACAGCCTCCAAAAGCCACAGACAAACCCTATCTTGAAATAAAAAACAAAAACAAAAATGAAAAATATACTCAGAACACAATAACAAGTCTGCAAACAATACAGGAAGGGAGAGAATGTATGCCAAAGTCCTAAGATAAGGACATCCCAGCATGTTGCTCTAAACTAAGTAGCACAAAGACATAAAAAGAAAGCATCAGGCATTAGCTTAGTAGTTATATGAGATGCACTAGTTATTACCAAAATATATTAATGAAGAATCAGTTTGTTCTTGGTACATACTTAGAGTTACCTAGGTTTTAGAAGGATGTGGAGAATATGAAGTTTGTTATCTTTTCTCATTTTATTGACTATATTAAGGTATCTTGGCAGTTGCTTCTGTAGACAACACTGATGTCCTATTTCAAACTTCTTTTTGCTTCCTCAGTTTTACCGAGCAGAAATTGAAGCCCTCCATTCTTCGGGTATGACAGCGGTTGTTAAATTCACTGATTATGGAAACTATGAAGAGGTGCTATTAAGCAATATCAAGCCCATTCAAACAGAGGCATGGGTACGTGATCCAAATTCTGTACAAAGGCTACTTTGAAGAAAATAAATAGCTCTAAAAGATTAGGCATAGTCATACACAATTTGCAAGTGAGAAAAAAGTGAGTTTGTTTGAAAGTGGCTATTCCAACTTAAGATTTCAACTTTATCTGAACTAAAAATAAATGCATTACAATTACCCCAATGTATACTGTGTTGTTATGTCATGCTTTGGAAATAGATAACATTGTTTATGTTTGCCAGATATTTGTATGTGTAAGATTGGGTTTCATGCATATTTTCGTTTTCAAATTGTTACTTTAAATTCAGCTGTTATGCCCCAAATTTGTCAAATTCAATCTCTATGGGATACATGATTTTGTTTATTATTTTAGGTGCCTATACGATTAGGAAAAAGCACTTTAAATTATATATGGTTTGCACATTGTTTACCACATGCATATCTTTGCCCGTGTATACATGCAGAGTAATGAAATATTTCAGCTTAGTAATTACCTGATGAATTTTATTGACAGTTGTGTGTCAAAGCTGTATACCAGCTTTGATCACATAAGTTAGCATTCTCCAGCCTCATAGAGTGCATGTTTATAGGACTTCCTTCACTTTATACAGGCTGATTGTCATCCACATGTAAGTACAAACAGCCATAGAGAAGTGGTGTTCTACACTTTCTATTTTCATTAATTTGTTGTGATTTCCCTAAAATGTCAAACTATAACAAAAAAAAAATCATATCATCTTGTTCTCTGGAGCCCTGCATTGTTTGTTCATGAGCTGTTTTGGATTTGTTTTCAAGTTTTTTTGTCATGTCTTTATTAGTGTCCCCATTCTCCAGTATAAATCAGCAAGAGCACAAAACCCAATTGCAGTCTTCAGATTTAGAGGCATGGATATTTGTTGCCTTCTTATTCAAGAAACACTATTATTTTCTAAGGTAATTTACCATTGTGCTTACAGTATGATATTACTGTTGGTTCATAGGATTACTAAGAGGACACTTCCTTCAGCCTCATTTCCTAAAGTTTCAAAGTTTTTCTCTAAAAAGACCGAGATGTTATCATTTTCAGGTTTATATTTTTTTTCATTCTTGGTAAAACTTGATTTCACATATTTTTACTCTTCTTGATCTCATGTGATGGCTATTTTAATCCCCCCTTTTTTGTTAACACTTTCTAATCCAATGTTAATTGTAAAAGTGATTATTTACTGAATTTATACTCCTAGAATTTGAATTATGACTTGGTATTTTATATGCTTCCTGTTGGTTTTAGTCATAGCATTCAGTGTCAAAGTGAAAGTCATGTTTTTAATGTGTATAGAATGCTTACTTTATCTAGAGGCTTACATAATAAAAGCTAGGCTCTCATATAGCACAGGCTATCCTAAGTCATGTAGCCAAGGATGAACTTAAGCTGATCCTTCTGCCTCCCCCTTTGCAGTGGTGGAGTTACAGGTGTCACTCTCATGCCACCCTCAACGTCACATTTTTATGTAATGTAGTTTTTATATTTTTAGAAGTCTTGGGGATTAATTTTACTCTTTCAGTTTTCTTCCTGTCATTTTGCTCCTTTAGGGCAGTCATTCCTGATGACATTTGTTGTTCCTCATTGAAACTCCCCCATTTAGAGGTGTTGAGTTCTGAATTGCTACAGGCATTACTTTTACCTTTCTACCTTAATAGTCCTCATGGCTCTCACCTTGATTTTTATTTGTGTGAGCATAGCTGGATGATGGTTTTATCAGATGTCTTAGCTGGTTCAGTGATTATATTCTGAGCCACAGGACACTTAGCTGAACACTCATTTATGATTTATTTTCACGTATTTTAAGCTTGAATAAGATGCCTAAGCTATTTTTGCAGAACAGCATAAAATCACTACATCTTTTGGAGATTTTGCCATTTTTTTCCTCCTAAGTGAAGTGAAATTTATGCAATTTATTTTGCATAAATTAATATAACTGGATCATGGGCATCATTGCCAGGGGAAAGATCAGCCATTCTGTCTGCAAGGGTAGTTACATGAGAGAAACATCTCCTTGAAATATAGATGCCACCAACTTAACAATTCTTTCTCTATCTCCATTTAAACAATATCTATGTGTTCATAGATACATACATAAAAAGCCACTGCAGCAATACAATCTATGCAGATGTCAGGACATGTGATGTAGAGTCAAGGTAGACTTCTCTTTTCCTTCTGAGAGTATTTGTATTGCAGTCTATGAGCACCTTTCTGTATACTGGAACTGTATCAAGGTTATGTTAATCAAAGCTCTACAAAATTATAAGCAAAACATCCACTGTACCAATAGGAAGGCAACCTTAGTTTACTGACTCACTCTACAGAAATAAAGGGCTGCAAAGGTGCAGTGAATCTGGTAAGGGGCCTTAGCACAATCACCCATTTACACTGTGGATTATTGAACTTTCAGCTTTTAAATTCTTGCACTACATATGTGTTTCTATTTTTATGTGAAATAGTATGTTTATTTGGTTATGGTTCATGTTTATTATTGGCAAAAAATGTTGGAAAATCTTGTCTAAGTTTTCCAAAAATACCAATGATCATTTAGTGAAGATGTTTTTCAAGTAAAGTGCAGAACAACCAAAAACAGCTTGCATATAAACTGAAAAGGCCTTTATAAAAACAAAACAAAACAGTTGCTGGTCCTGCTTTTCAAAGATGTAAGGATAAATTAAGTAAAAAGCATGAAGTATTACGAGATATAAAGACAAAGTTAATAGTCGGTTGCATGGAAAAATAAAATAAAAGTTAATGCTTTAAATTGAAGTGTTAATGTTTTTCTCATGAGGTTTATGGGTTATCTCACATATGTTAGTCAGTTGAATATCTGTTTATTTATCTCTCCAATCTGGATATGTCCACCTTTTTATTTCTAGGACATATACAGGGATGATACTTTATTTTCTCAAAATACACGTTCTGAGTTTGACTGAATACATTATTCTTTGAAAGTGATTTATTAAAAATCCTGTTGTGTTAACCTTGAACTTTTGTTTTTATTACAACTAGATTCCACCTGGCTCTTTTTTTTTTTTGGTTTTTTTTCGAGACAGGGTTTTTCTGTGTAGCTTTGGAGCCTATCCTGGCACCCTCTGGAGACCAGGCTGCCCTTGAACCTCACAGAGATCCTCCTGCCTCTGCCCCCCGAGTGCTGGGATTAAAGGCATGCGCCACCAACGCCCGGCCACCTGGCTCCTTTTACCACTGTAGGAAGTTACCTTATTTTTGTTGTTGGTGGTGTTCTTTTTTTTTTTTCTTTTCTAATTTTTTTTACCAAAAATAGATTTTTTTCATACAGTATATTCTGATTATGGTTTCCCATCCACAAGTACTTTCAGATCTTCCCTACCTGCCTTCCCACCCAAGTCTACACCCTTTCTTTCTCTCTCTCATTAGAAAAACAAACAGGCATCTCAAAAATAATAACATAAAATAAGTCTTATTTTAATATCTAACATATAGTGGATTTTCTAATTTGCATGAGTAATGCGACATTTCAGTTTGTTTTGAATTATATAAACGCTCTAATTTTTCCCTCTGATACTCTGTTTTCTTGAGATTCTGTGTCCCCTAAACAAAACAAAAACACCCTAAATTAAAATAAATAGAATTTTTTTATTTTTTGTTTGTATGTTGTATGCCTGTGTGCTCATTTGTGTGGTATTGAAACATTATAGAGCTATCCTTGTTTTAGCAAAGTAGTTGATGCATTATGGAAATTTACATGGAAAAAACCCAAAATATTTTTTAATCCTCTCTATTGTATGAGTATGGAAATCTGCAAATGGTGCACCCTGCAGGCCCTTCCTAATTGGTTCCTTTGAACTTCAAAACTAGTATGAGATTACCAGTTTAAAGATGCCACAGGCATTTTGGAAACCCTGTGAAATAGCTGGCTGTGTTGCACAGATTCACCTTTTGTTTTTCTGGAGTTGTCTCTGAAAAGCTCCTTTACACTTGGGACACTACTTTCTCCTGAGTTTTCAAATGCCTTCAAGACTTAGATCCTGTGAGACTTTTATGTCCCAAGAGATGTTTTAGAGCGTGCTGGTATCTAAGCTTTCTCTTAAAAGTGTTCAGAGCTTGTGTGTCTTCAATCAGAAAGTGACCACTGTTCAGCTGTTATTCCAACAAGAGAGTCACATTGTATAGATAATAGTTAGTTCTATAATCTTAGCATGCACATGGTCTTGGGCAGTAATTCTGCAAAGTGACAGATGGATTGTTCCTTTTTTTTTTTTTTTTTAAGTAATCGTCCAACCATAAGTGTTTTTGTGGGGTCATTTAGTAACAAACATTCCTTGCAAACCTCCCAGGTTTCAGGCATTATTTCTGTGAGTGGTATATGTAAGCCCACAAAAATCTCCATCCTGTACACAAAAGTAACGTATCTCTGTTTTATAAAGGTATCTTCAGTGTAAGTCTTGATCTTACCTCTTGAACTCTTAAAGTCAAATACCAGTAGAGGAGATTCTTTATTCCACTTTAGTTTGAAGACAAAATTGCTATTGAAGAAAATGTAACAATGAACTTATGTACTAAAAACCATGCTTTTCCTGAGAGGATGAGTTCATGGGTAAAGTGTTTGCTATGTAGGCAGGAGGACCTGAATTTAGTTCCCCAATACTCATATTAAAAGCCAGTGTAGAGTTTCACATCCATAATCCTAGGGATGAGAATTGAAGATAGGAGAATCTAGGACTCACAGGACAGCTACCATAGCTAGTGGGGTTCAGTGAGACCATCCCTAAAACTGAAGTGTAAAGTGATAGAAGACAGGAGCCCCCCT